ATAAATCTCTTATTAACCAAGCTTGCTCGGGACCGTACTGGAAGAATATCGGCCCTCTGTCTTTTTTTGTACAGACCAAAAGCAGGGAGGTCTGTACTGTCAAGACCTCGGGCCGACATTCTCCCAGTACGGCCCTCATGCTTGGTTAATAAGATATATGTATACTGAAAACTCTGATAATCAGCCTTTAATTGGTGGATGTTTATGCAATTGAAAATAATGTGACTGTTGAGAGGGATATATTATGATACACCAGGAGAAAGTATTAAATGACTATTTTAAACTGTGCAACAGAAAATTCAGTGGCCAACACAAAAAATGCAACATACAAGCAATACTAGTAGCCATTTCACGCTAGAGAAACTACCATGACTTAGCTCCAGCATGCTGTGTAAGTCGGGTGACTCCATGCAGTGCTAACGTTTACTTTACTTTAATGACTTTCAGAGTCCAGATCAGAGTAATCATCGCTCAGGAAATGCCCACCCAAGTAGTACATTTGGTAATGGATATCTAAGGTAATTGATGCATGCATCTCTACTCTACCCAAATATCTCATGGTCTTTGGGAGGGTAGGGAAGGGCATAAGTCAACTCTAGGGGATAATTCAGGATGAAAAATATTCATTTCAGGGCTCAACACTAAATTTTCAACTTACTAACCAAGTGGCTAGTGTCACGAAAGTTTCAGTTTGTTCACTAGCCAAACTGGCTGGTGGAAATCAAAAGCCACTAGCCAAAAACTGAATTTCTACTAGTCCAGTGGTATAGCTAAGAATATGGCCTGCTGATTGAGGAAGCCATTCAGCTGGTTGTTTCTAGTCATTTGAAATATCTTGTCTGCAGGGCTACCAAGCTTTGAGTTTACAAAATGGTCAGTGATCCGAAACAGAGAGAGACACTAAAAAATTTATTTTACAGCACCTCATTCCACCATTAATACTTCTGCAGCCTAGACGTAGTTCAGTATTTATTTTCACCTTTTTGTTTTCAAACGGCAAGGTTTTTTTTTCCTTAAACTGTTAAAAATCAAGACTTGTCTGTCGAGTGATTACCAGTGAAAATCAGCCGGCAACTGCCATATTCTCAGCTGGCGAATTTCCCTGGCCGCCTGCCAGCACTTGAGGACAACCTTGCTAGTCTGTGGCTATTTGGCTACTATTAGTGTTACGCCCAGCATTGTATGAACCTGAATTGCAACCTCAGTCACATTTATTGTAAACCCCTTTCACTCCAACATTACTTTCCTTATTCGCCATACTGTTCTCTCTACTGGCAAGGAGAATTTATCTAACAATCAAAGCTTGTTAGGCTCATGATCTAATGTTGAATGATTGGCTCAGCAGTTTTACTGCTTGGAGAAATTACATCTTGGTCACTCCAAGGGTTTAATGGGTAAATGAACTTGGTTTCTCTAAAGCTCGAGTTAAGTACGAGGACATGTATTTCTTTTGCTACTGTTCTTGGATGAGAAGTCACAAGTCTTTTCCCAAGAGTTGGAGAAAAGGAAGTGTTGTTGAGGTAATCAGTGCATCTGTGGTCTAAACTCTTAGTGTTAAGCACATACTTGCCATTTTTTAAAATTGCCACTCAGTGACCCAAATGAAATGATGTTCCTTGTTTCCAACTTTCAGGGATTGTGAGTGGGAGGGGGTGTTCAAAGTGTGGTAAACCTTCCCTAAGGTGTCCAGCTTCATTGCCAAGTACTTTTTGATAAGTACTTTCACTAAACAGCCATACCATGGCAAATTTCTCTAATTGAACCTTAGTTGTTGAGTGTCAGCTTGTAAGACTGCAATCTAAGGGAAGACCTGTATGGCTTTAAACTCTTTCACTCCCTTTAAGTGACCAAGACAGAATTTCTCTTAACAATGCTCATACAGTATCAAGACAACAAGTGATGAGAATAAAGAAAAGTATCAACTAGTGGATTATTAGTTGATCAGATACCAAGTTCTCTAAAGGAACATCATAAGGATTGTATGACAGGCAGTAGGGGAGAATTATACTGATGGGATCTCCGGAGTGATAGGGTTTACTCCTTAGAGTGCAAAGCATCTAATTTATCTGTTCAGTATCGCAGATGAACCAAGACTCTCTAACTTGTTATTTTACAGCAAGAATGAACTCATTCTCAAGTACACTGAAGGAAAGCCCCTTTTGCAAGGACAGCAGGTATTTATGCACTGTGGTCCGCACATGTATTTCCATTACACTTCTATAACGTTTAAAAAATAGCCTTGTTTTCAAAGGTTACATATTAGCTTCAGGTATGAATTGTAAAATACACAGCTGACATTAAAAATAGGCAATGATTAGCCAAGAAAGAAAAAAACTTTGTTTTAAAATGAAGAAGATTAGAGAAACTTTAGATAAAAGAAGTCCAAGGAAATGAGCCTTTTAAACGTATCTTCACTTAACATACGCTTTATAAAAAATTGAATTGCACCTGAAGTGTAGAACTCTTCATCTTTCCTTTGTCCCTTTGTTGCATAATGTGTTGTTCTTGTGTTTTATTTTAATTAACCTTGACTTGGATTCAGACCGACCTTGTATTTAATTATCAAAAAACCCTGTTTATATGTTCAGTGCCCTTGCATTTTTCAGGGATTCCCTTACCACTCTGCGATGCATTAAATATCAAAATTTATAACTGTATATCACATGTTTATTGTAGCAGCGTAGATCTTCTTGCGTTGGATGCTCATTTAGAAACACAAGGTGACAATATGTGTGGACATTAAAAATATATTTCAATGCTAAAAAAAAAAAATCACTCATTGAATTTTGTGGTCAGAAAAATACGTCTGCTACACTTTCGTGGATGTACTGTATAATGCAATAGGAGATATAGTTTACGTTCTCATTCTAATACTTTTTTTTTTTGTCTCTTACGATTACCTTAAGAGGGTTACAAGTATTTTTCCAGGAACTTTACCACAGCTTGGACCAGATAGACATCAGGTGACATAACTCTCGATGCAGCCTCATTTCTAGGGTCTTTTTTCTTCCTTCTCTGCAAAATCTAGAACCAAAACTACAAATTTTCCTTATCAACCTCACTTGAGACTAGTGTTCTTCAGTTTGCGCCCGTCGGCTCCATTTATCAACAACAAAAGTTTACACACACACACACACACACACACACACACACAAAACAAGTAGCAACAGCAACAATAAAGACAACAGAAATTTAAATCATTTAGAACACTTTGGTCTGATTGTTAAGACAAAGTTCAGCCATCGTTTAACAGAACTGCGTTCTTAACCATCTCCAATTGAACTGCACCTTTTATCCAAACATTTATTCTTGTGATTAGTGTCCAGAGGACCGAAAGCTTACAGTGGAAGAATTTTTTAAATAAAATCAACCGTGTTATAGAAAAAACCTAAGACCCAGTCTGCTTGTATGAAATCGGGTTAGGGTTAGACCTCTTGTAAATAACCGGCCCTTTTTGTCGAGATCGATAAGGACTACATTTTTTTGTGTGATGTTAAAGAGAAGTTTTTGCTTCTAATTGAAGAAAACTTGAGACAAGCTAACCATTTGCTATAACATTGCCATGTTCCCTTACTTCTTTTGCTATGTTTGCAGGCAGGCGACCATGCTTCCAAAGAGGGAAAGGTAAGTATTTTGGACGCGTAAAATACTCCGATCTCATAGGAATCAAGAGATATACAAAGGAGATGTAGAAAACGCCAATTACAAATGTTTTATAGGGTAGATATGACTTGATAAACCAAAACAAAAAACTGAAGAAAAACGGAAACAGACGTGAGAGAATACATGCTAATTTACCGACCACACACACACACACACACACACACACTCTCTCTCTCTCTCTCACTCTCTCACTCTCTCACTCTCTCACTCTCTCTCTCTCAACAGTGTGGAGAATATGCATACTGATGTCAGGGTGTTTAAAAGTTAAATATTCACTCTTTCTTTTAATATCCAGAAGTTCTCTGATCAACTGCCGCAATTGTTAAACCAGCAGAACATTCTCAAAACTTCAAATAAACAGGTGAGTGAAGGCCAAGAGATGTATCTTAGAAGGGAAATATTTTAACTGAGTTAAATGTCCATTTTGATGGTTTGCTCTTGGACTTCAGTCAAGTTTATTGATATTTCTCCGAGCCCGCGATTTCGTCAGCGTGTTCGTTTTTTCATTATGTCATGGGTAAGTGACGTCTTTCATTATGCTGCCAATCACGTGCGATCTTTCAGAGATATATCATGACGAGAATTAATGATTGAATGGAAGAAAAAGAAGAGCATATGGAAAAAAAAATATAAAGAAAAGATTTAGAAAATGTAGCAAGTTTGGTTAATCTATTTTGGATGGTTTCTACCGTAGAATTTTCGCTCATATTTGTGCGTAGACGTCGCATTTTATCTTGGTAATTGGAGATTCGCTGGTCGAAGACAATGTTCTGTAGGAGCGGTGACACCTCTTTAAAACTTCGAAGAGGTCTTTTCAAGTGCAAGTCTAATTAAAAGTGGCACAGCTTTATACTGGGTCGATTTTCTGAAACCTCAGAAATGAGCATGTGTCATGTGTTCATCATCGTGCGCCGATAGAATGCTACCATGCAATTCTTTTGTACCTAAAGTACATTACATTTTCGTAGAGACCGTTAAAAGACAGGAAAACTTGAAACAGCTGCCTGTCTGGAGAATTGAAATGTGAAAATCAGTAAAACAAGGAGAGTTATTTATTTCGCAAACGATTATTTAGCCTGAGAAGAACGTTTAACTTGTCGATCTGATTAGGCTTTTATCGATGTTGCCCTCGAAGTGTTTTATTTGCCAGTTGTGGTGTTTCTAGCGTGTATAGCCATTGTTTATGACGTTTCTTAGTTTACGAAATTTCTAATGACTTGCTAATGACACTACGTCGTTAAGTGCGATATTTTCAGCGCCCAGTAATTGCAAACTCATGCGGGGTGCTAAATGAAACCTTTTTTTTTTTTTTCGAACTTACGCGTCCGACGTAAACGAATTTTAATGCTTCAGCTGAATCGGTCGAACTTGAAATGAGATGGTGTTTTTTTTTTTAATCGCACTGTGTTGGGTTAATTTTTTTCCGAATTTCAATCAATTGTTCGATGTATTTCAATGGGTTTCGAGTATGAGCACTTCAGTGGGTTTCAGTCGAAAAGACGCCGATGAAACAGGTGGAAATTTCCTCGCTTGTTCCATTTGCTCCTCGCAAAGTTGAATAATTTATTACATCAAGCTACCCAGCAATCTCATCACCGTGGCAACATGTTTTTTCGCCTAGAAGGGACAGATGTAAGCTGAGCTGTTTTCGCTTGTACACGCTGTTTTATTTCTTCTTCTGCTAATCATTTGAAACTCAAGCTGGGGTTCGGATTGTACGCAATAACAAAATTATTCATTTATACTCGCCGAAAAAGGCTACTCGTCGTGCGCTTAGATTTCTATTCGATCTTCATTCAAGAGCCTTCTATCACGCGTGTCTCGTAGACCGAGCACAAGACAGACCTCCCTGTAGGTCGCTTTTCCAGCGCGCGGTCTTGCTGTCATCAACGTAGACGTGTTGTTACTTCATCATGGTGAAACAAGGACAGAAACCCGGCCAAAAGACAGGCATTTCAATTCAGAATACAAGTACACTAACTCGTGGACACATGAAAATTCGAGTTTTCACGGGCCTAGCGGGATCTCTTCAGTCTGTACATCGAAAGAAGGTTGTATGAGTTCAAAATGTTTCACCTTTCATGTATTTTTTTTCCCCAGAACCCAGCACATTATTCAGTTTTCCTTGTTTTAGCAGTTTTTTTTTTTTAGGACAGATTCGTGGTGGTTTATGTCAAATTGCGCTTAATCTGTTGGTTTTTAGGCCGCAATAATTTCATGAATTTGTTTTCCCGGCATACGAGAAGTGCTTGATGAATTTGATGAAGTAAATAATTCAGCAAATATTTAATTTGAAGAAGAAAATAAATCGTTTGCCAAATTTCAGTGCTCCGGTCCGGCCCATTCAAAAACATTCTTTGGAAGAAAAATTTTTAGTGAAGTAAGTATTTCCTAGTTATAGATTTTCAGGTGTTGTTAAAAGCCTTTTTTTACAGAAAATTTATGAGCACTCGGTGAGATGTCTTCTGAAGATTAAACTAAATCTGGTCCCCATCATTAATTCTTTTTTTCTTCTACTCTGATAGAGTATTCAGATTCATTTCCCAAAAACATTTTCAAGGGTTTGACGGTAATAAAATTTTCATTGAACTATCACAAAAAAAAAAATCCTTGAATATGTAAGACTCATAACCCGACGGGAAAATTATCTAAATAATTTATTCTTGAACCTAGAGGAAATTGGTATTTTAATTTAGAGCCATCTATCGCAGTAAATTCGACTACGTTTTCAATGCGTCGCCAGAGATTTTCTGTAACCATTGAAGAACGAGACTAGAAATTTTGACAAGTTGAAAAGTGTCACGTTTTTTGTTTATTTCCATTCTTATAATCGTGGTTATCATCAGTTATTCTTCGACGTGGAATTTTCTTTGCTTTTTTCGTTTTCATCTGTTCCCTTTCTCTTGTGTTGCGTGAGATTGTTTCTTTCCTTTTGTATTTTCCAGTTTACATTTAGATCTTTCCCTTGCTACCCGTTCTTTCAGGTAAAGATAATTCGCCCACCTTTCAAATCCAATCTTACTTTTCATCGTTTTCAATCAAAACAGATACCAAGATTTCCAAGATATTACTTTCTCGGTGCAGGCAACTATTGAGAACAGCTGCTTCGAGACTAAGATAACGCTGGTAGTTGACGCACACATATTTAAGGCTCTCGGCAAATTTAAGTTTCTTGTTATTTTTAAGATATGCGCTATCTACAGCCACCATAACCTTCTCTCGTAAGACACGCATTTGAGAAAATCAAACTAAGGCTCGATGTTTTTACTTCTTTGAGTTTTTATGTAGTAAAGGTTAATTTATTAAATCTGTCGGACCTCCAGTCTCCGGGACAAATAAATTCGAATGGTGTAATTCCTTAGCAAATTTCGTTATAATTGTAAAATCAGGCAAGAATTGTCAACATCGCAAAGGCTCTGAAAAGTAAGGAATTTTCATTCTGTCGGTTATTTTTAACTGAGACTCCAGAGGTCAGGTCATCGAAAGGAAGCCACGACATTACAAATTTAGTTTCTTCTTTATTTTCATTAAGGAAAAATTTAGTTTGTTGAAGGAGAAAAAGGCATAACTTATGATAATCTCCTTTTGTAACTCGGCCAGTGTTCAAGTAAACAAACAGAGGAGAACAACAGACCTTTAGATTTGTAAAGAAAATATTTTCTTTAGAAGTAATATGGGAGACACATAGTTTGCTGGAAGATTACGAACTGAACGCAAATATTGGAACAGGATATTTGCATGCGAATCTGTGTCGAAATCGAAATCCACATCTGAAAAGAAATACTTGTAAGATGCGGAGTTAGTCTGCATTTTAGGGGTGTTTCTTTCTATTTTATATCAAACATCCGTTTGGAAACAAGTTCCTAGTTTGGCTAGTGGCGATCAAAGCACCTTATTGAATTTACTCTCAACCAGATGTTCGTATTTCTCTGAGAGATTTTCATCGACAATGACTGCTGAAAGTACTTCCTGAGGCAGTTAAGTCTAGGAATCTTTTTTCGGTCGCTGTAGAATTACGAAATTACGTTGAAGACTAATTATGTTTCCGATGTGTACGTTTCCGGGGTATTTAGAATACATCAGGTTGTTATGGCGACTAAATTTTTATTGAGACAAATTGCGCGGGGCTCCCAACTAAAAGTCGCAGCATGGAAGTCGCCTAAGGAACTGCACGTGTCCCTTTAGAAACAGGTTTCCTCCAGTTCCACTTTAACTTCCCTAACAGGTTCTTGATCATAGCCGGGGAGAGAAGGGGGAAATATGGAGTAGAAGCTGGGGTAAAAGAGGATGGGGGGGGTTCATAGCTGGGGAGAGAGGGGGTAGGGGTGTCATAGCTGGGGAGAGAAAGAGGAAGTGGGGTCATTGCTTGGGGGGGGAAGAGGGGAGGGGGTCATAGCTAGGGAGAGAAAGGGGAGATGTGGAGTAGAAGCTGGGGTAAAAGAGGATGGGGGGGGTTCATAGCTGGGGAGAGAGGGGGTAGGGGTGTCATAGCTGGGGAGAGAAAGGGGAAGTGGGGTCGTTGCTAGGGGGGAAGGGGGGTCATAGCTGGGGAGAGAGAGGGGAGGGGGTCATGGCTGGGGAGAGAAAGGGGAATAATAATAATAATTTAATAATAATTTATTTCTTATAGAGCGCTATTTAGGGGCCGACCATTTAACTTTTGAGGGGGGGGATGGGTGATTTTTGGTCATCAGGAAATTCTCTTTCTAGCAATCTGCTGTGCAGGATATTTTTTTCCGATTTTTAGGTACATGTTTTATGTTACATTTGGGCTGCATGCAATTTTTTTCTTCCAACAAGCGCTTGCAGGAAATTTTTTCAAAATCACCCACCCCCCCCTCTCAAAAGTTAAATGGTCAGCTCCTTACAATGACAGATCAACAGCGCTTTACACTCAATGTATAAACCCACCCATCCCACCCCAGGGGAGGACATCCATCACACAGTAATCTCGTGTGTGGGAAATTAATGTCTCCTACCCCCAACCCTG